AAATGCTTTGAGGGAATCACAATCTAAAACGTTTTAGGGATTGCATAGAACTAACAAAAAATAATCAAAGAATTTTATTACGGAGTTACTAACCGCTCACTGTAGATTGAATAATCACCTAACAAAGTTAGGACTACAATTCAACTTAGACTGCCGATTCTATAAAGAAGAGAAAAGAACCGCATACCAAGCGGAAGAAACACAGGGAATTTCATGGAACATAGAAATTCAAGACTTGGAAAGATAGGTTCTATACTGTTTTTCATTAAAGAAATCGGACTTGGAGAAACTCTCTAATCTGGCCGAGTAAGAAGCACAATAGATCTTTTAGGTCGCAGTGTATTATCGCTTTTGCATAATAATTCAATTCAGAAGGATTACTGCGATATATATTGTACTCAGCAATGTAACTTATACTTAGCATGCGGATGTGTATTGTTCCAAAACTATTATTCCAGTATTATTTCTATGGTGTAGATTTTTGTAGACCCATCTCTAGACCCATTGTTTTGTGCATACAAACAAGAGTGTTCTGATCCGTTATTAGCTTCAAGTTGACGTCATTCGGTGAAGTATCGCTTGCAACACCCTGTATTATGCATAGTTACTTTATTTATTTAGTATGCAAGCTTCATTAAGTATAAGGAAGGAAGTGCGTCAACGTCTTTGATGCGTACGAAAGTGACAAGATTGACAGGAATTGGCATAACGTTCATTGATGTGAGGCGTTTGACAATATTTTGCCTGTACGTCGATTCCAAGACGTCATGTCATACGTATTTGCATACAGGAAAGTATGTATATGTGCGCTTGTATGGTTGCAAGTAAATGTTTCATTTGTCATTGTGGCAATCGAAATTTGGGGAGAAAAAATATAGACGACAGTTCACAAAGAAAAGGGAGGACGAAATTTTTAAAATATTAAAAGCGATTATGTGTGCGTTGTGGTATTAAAGGATTTCCAATTGAAACAAACTCATTATCGTTATTGAAATATGAGTTGATTTACGTGTCTATGCTGAAGCGATGCAAGTGGCTGCCTGGCTGCCTGGCTGCCTGACTGCCTGACTGCCTGATTGCTAGGCTATGAACTTGTGCTGGAACTGCTCTACTCAACTGAACTGAACTCAACTCAACTCGACTTGTTACGAATCATTTCCGTTGCCTCCAAATGAGCACGTGTGATTTGACTTTTATGATTATTGCATTGTGCTGTACTGATTAGTGTGTGTCAGGATGTGTGAATATACACCGAGTGATTTTTTTCCCATTTCTATTTGATTGGAGTTTAGTTGTAATAGCGACGACATGAGTATGTATGTCCTTCGGCAGTGCAGCTGTCACTTTTATGTGCCAATACTTATGTACGTCAATATCAATGCCACCACAAACTGAAAACAATAGCAAGGACATGCTTAACTACACCACTAAAGACCTCCTGTACAACAGCCAAGTTTGTTCTTCCCTGTTCCTCTCCGAACAAAATCCTTACAGATGAGTATGTGTGCCCATTTGACGTTATAAGCGCAATTTTAATGTGTTTTGGCTCGTCCTTATTCTAAGCGCTGTAATCAGGATTAGCGCAACAGACGATTTTGTATTTTGCAATTGGACTTGTGTTGGGTTTGGGCTTGGGCTTGGGGTTGGGGTTGGGGTTGGGCTTGAGTTTCGGTTTGGGTTTGAGTTTTTATTGCATTAATTACGTGTAGAAATGACTAAAATTACTTTGCAGGATAATCGCTCGAAAATGTGAACTTAATGCAAAAATGTTGAATATTTTAAGAAAATTTGTTGGCATTTGTGCAAGTCCTTCTTTGCTATTCGGTATTCAATTGTGGTTTGATTAATATTTGCACAATTTACTCACAAATGCACTTGCCAGGATTTGTGGTTGACTGCAGTGGTATGAGTTCGCCTCAATCTTCTGTAAGCAAGCAATTAAATGGATTTATTTATTTCGAATTTCTAAGCTGTATGGTACATGGTATATG